GATCTGTAAAGTTGCAAAGACTAAAGTCTCAAATCCAAAGAGATATTCTTTATAAAAGTTAAGAGTCAACCACGCCTACCTAAACCGGCTCGTTCTAACACGCCCCCATGTCTACGTCATGATGTGGGAAGATTTGCATAACGCCGCCCAAATGTTCACGCAAAGAAAGAAGGCGCAACTTTTATTCTCGCTGTAGTATTGTTGTTGCCGCCGCCATGTCGTGAAGGTGCTGTGTGTTTTATTGTGAAAGCAAAACTACTTTGTTTGGCCTTTCAAAAGAGGTCGATATCCGCTTCGTCATGCCTTGAGCTGATCCGTGCTGGTCGCTGAGGAAATATATTAACTTCGGGCTGTGGATCGACTTTCACCGTGAATGAAGCGGAGTCCAGCCCAGGGTCGTCACATGTGGTTGCCGCAAGCCCACCGGACGCTCATTCGTCGAATCCACCAGCCGTGCCGTTCTCAAGCCGGCCTCTGCTCACTCTAGCCCACCGTGTGTTTCGTTGTGAAAGCGAAACTACTTTGTTTGGCCTTCCAAAAGAGGACACGACTACAAGCATCCAACCACATAGCACTAAATACAGCATCTAGAGTAATAAAATAGCAATTGCAGCATTTGTTTCACCAAAGATTTACCATATAAAATACAAATGCTTGTTAAACACCTTTTATCGCGTACTGTAGGAACTTAGAGGCATATTTTGATATTTACTCAACTGACACCCACTCTATCAGTTTCATTCTAACACATTGGCCAACTAACCAAACTTAGTCTCGTTTGACACACCACTCAGACTAAGCAATGCTTTGACCAACAAGATACTGTCAACCTCAGGATCACTTTGACTCTGCACTACCACAGATGTGAACATATCCAGCACTGATAAAACTTTCTGCCCACTGCGAACCAACCCACAATCAACGCTTCCTGGCAAAAAGCCGAGAAGCACACTTTGAAGGTGTGAAAAACAGGGGGCCTCTGGACGGTAAATGGTGTAATAACAGCAGCTGAATACAGAAACATGACCCTTCATCTGATGATTATCACCTGCAGTCAGTCAGGAACTAATGATTATGTAGTTTCATATCTACTGTTAAGATGTGTGTTCTCCTTCACAACATTTCTAGTGTTCTCCAACCCGAAACCAGCTCTCTTACTCAAAAAACAGGAAGCGCGTGCACCCAGAGAACAAAGGAGTGTGTCTTCAAAGAGTGGAAACAGGAAACGAAGGAGTTGAGTGCGGGTCACAAAAAAAGACCGGTTTCAAATCCTCCCGCTTACTTGAAGAATGAGCGGTGGTACAGGTGTCTCTGTGTCAGCAGTTTCTCAAATCAAGCCTACCCTGATGAAAAGACCCTTTTAGTTCAGAATGACTTTCCATTCTGACTGGTTATAGCTGGTTTCTTGCTAATACACAAACCCTCTCACATATATAGACACTACCGTTCAGAAGTTTCAGATCGGTAAGATTTTGAAAATGTTTTTCAAAGAAGTCTCTTCTGCTCATCAAGGCTGCATTTATTTGATCCAAAATACAGCAAAAACATTAATATTGTGAAATATTTTTACATTTTAAAATAACCGTTTTCTGTCCTTCAGAAATCATTCTAACATGCTGATTTGCTGCTTAAGAAACATTTGATAAACATTTGAACTTTGATTAATAACATTTATCTAAAATAGAAAGCTTTTGTAACATACGTGACCATTTAAAAGTTTGGGGTCAGTATGAATTAATTTTTTTTTTTTTTTACTTATTTAGAAATAAATTAAAGGAAATAATACTTTTATTTAGCAAGGATGCATTAAATCGATACAAAAATAAATATATACGTATATATATATTTTTTTAACCTATAATACGTTGAAGGTCAGTAAATGGTATTTTCTTTAGATGTTTTCATTGCAGTGTTATTTTAGTATTATTTATATATTATAAATAATTGACATTATTATTGACATTCTCAATTTGCTTTTATTTTTAATATTTTCAGCTTTCACTTAAATTTTAGTTTAATTTTTAATAATTGTAGTCATTTCAATTTTGCTATGTGCTTTTGTCATTTTTTTAAATAAAAAACCTAAACTACTAAGGATTAATTAATTTTTTTAGTTTTTAATTTAGTTTTTATTTCTAGTTTTAGTGCTCAATTGTAGTGCTTCAACACAGTATGTTGTCAAGAAAACATTGCTAATTTTCATTTAGTTTACGTTTTTCCATCTAATATTTATATTTTATTTCAGCTTTATTTCAATTAACATATATGTTTTAAATACATTTAATGTTAACCCTGTTTCATTGTCTGTATTGCTAGTTAGCACATGCCTAATGCAACCTCTTAACTGAAGTCAAATTTGGCTGAATAGTCGACGGATCGTTCAAATAATCATTAGATTAGTTGTATATCAAAATAAGTGTTGGTTGCAGCCCTTCTTGAATGAATGAAGCTGTTCAACCTGCATGGACTTCCTGGTAAAGCTGAATGAAAAAGGAAGTCCTGCTGCTTAAGAAGCCTGGTGGAAACAAAAATGCACATCACATCCAAAACAACATATGCTGATGACCAACTGCTGGTCTTTTCAGTAGGCAAGCTCCAAGACCAATCTGGCAACATTACAAGTTTCACAATTTGAGTTGAATTACTGAAATAAATGAACTTTTCCACGACATTCTAATTTATTGAGATGCACCTGTATACTCAAGCAACCCTGCTTACATGAAAAAACGCCTATACCAGCTTAGACAGTTTAAATCAGCTGGTGAGATTAAATGACCAGTTAAAACTATCACTGATTACAAGTTTTCAGCACTTTCATCCTTGTCAAGTAGGTCTACCCACAATAATCAGTAGGGCTATCACGATTATGAAATTTGGCTGACGATTAATTGTCTAAAAATAGTCACGGTTATTGCGATTAATTGTCTGTTTTTATGGCTTTCATTATACAATTATGATTAATTTAAGGGATCAGTAAATAATTATGTTATCGTTTAATCTTTTTGAGTTATTATTTTGCAGTGTAAGATTACATAGAGTATTCCAAATTCTAAGAATCGGCCAATACCGATCCAACACCAGTGCTATTTTTTTTCTACACCACTACAGAATATCAATACAGTGTTTGTGGAACTAATGGTCACTTTTTTTTTTAAAAACCCTTTGTTAAACGCAATCCACTAAATACTCACTTCCTCATTACAGAGAAAAACTAAATTTGAATAAAAATATATAAGCTATGAAATTAAACTAGCTGACTGTATAATTTAGAAGCAAAAACAATATCTTGCACATTATACAATTTAAACATGTTTATTGTTAACTATTTGTATTCTTACAAAATACATTCATGAATATAAGATAGAAATCATGAGAAAAAGAAAGGCTTCTAATAATCTTTCTGTTTGTGATAATTCCATCCTTCCTTAAACTTAAAGTATTATAACTGGAATATATCATCTTGGAGAGAGTTTTACCATGCTGACTTTCATAACTGAACGTGACGTGCTGTTTGAATGCTGAGCGGAGAATGACTGGCAGCTGCAGCAGAAGGAAGATGAGTTTCTAAATTCTGTCCCTCACATTTATGGAATGGCTTCAGATGATATAGCAGGGCTCCAGACTGCGACCATTTTTTCTGCCTGTGCGACTAAATTTTGCAGCACTTAGAGAGTATACTCGCCGGGTCAGCACGAGCGCGAAGGTTTTAAAGTTTTAAAAATTAAAGGTGTATAGATGTATGTAAGCAAAACAGTGACAACAAGATCGCAAATTCGAAAGTGAAAGCATCCGAAGCCCGCGGCTTAACACAGCAAAAGAGAAACTCCCGTTCACAAAATTCAAATCACAAATAATACTGCTGATGATAAAGAACGGGTTGAACGTTAACCACTTTTGTTTCCATCTAACTATAAACTATGATAAAAGCTCATCAGCATGCATTGAATAATCCCATGTTGTAGCACAAAAAAAATGTATGGTGTATGATTCCCCCTTGTCTCGTATAAAAAGCACAATAATCGGTTAGATCAAATAATTGCGATTAGACGGTTATTTAATTATCACGACAGGCCTAATAATCAGCTTGTGCAAGTAACAGACCAGCATTGTCCATCTTAACCATTTTGAAACTGAAGCTGGTCCAAACTGGTGTAAACACAAAAATGGGGTTTCTACTATTGAAATAAATGTAAAAGAGGGCTGACGTCAGTGATTATGTACCTTCACATTTCTCCAGGATCTGCACCGTGTCACCGATCTCCAGAGGCAAGCCATGCTGCACCGTTCCTCGAAAACTGGCCAGCACTACAACAAAAAAAACAATTAATTATCAATATCTCAGGTTTATTCAATTAAAACTAAAACAATAATAAAAAAAAAGTCATTAGTGAACATTAGTTAATGCATTAACTCACGTACTAATAACGAACAATATATTTCTACAGCATTTATTAACCTGTGTTAATGTTATTTAGAAAGTTAAAATGTTTCTATTGTTATTCATTTATTTAAGAAAAAAATTCATTGTAGTTCATAGTGCATTACCTAATGTTAACAATTACAACTTTTGATCTTAAAAATGTTTTAATAAATGCTGATATTAACATTAACTAAGATTAATAAAAGTCTTATTCATTGTTAACTCATGCAATATTATCAAATGAAACCTTATTATAAAGTATTAACAGTATCTCAAATACTAAAATAACACTGGTGTTTACAACAAAATGACATTTCAGGTCCATATATGATGCATTTAAGCAAACAGAAAAAAAAAACACCATTCCCTTTCATACACATTTGTGATGCTAAAATTGTATAGTGCGAAGACATTTGACCCATATTAGATGTAAATGTCACAGATTGACCTTTTGGCTGAATCCAAAGAGTGCACAAATGTAAAAGCTGCCTGGTTTGCAGCATTGTGGGATCTGAAGTAATTTCAGTTGCTCAAAGCCTAGTGTGACCTCAGCTTAAGCTCACAAGGGCAGGGTTGCCAGATTGCTCTGAAGTTCAACGTTGTGGGAAGGTTTAATAAAAGTGACGTGTCTCTCTTACTTAAGGGTTTGACAAAGACGCTCACCTGAGGAGACTCGCTTTGATGAACACGTACGCTACTTTGAAGTCAAGGCTGCCTGAGCCAAAAAAAAGTCAAGGAATATGGAATAAATAAAAAATATGGAGATCAAGTGACGGATATGCGAGAGGAAAAGAAGAAATGACAAGACTATGAGCATATTAGAAAATGCCAAAAAAGAGAGAGAGAAAGAGGACACGTCTTGTGTAATCTGCATTCCTCTCAAAAGCAAATGCCACGAAAGCTCTCATATCTATTATAATGATGTCATCATTGCTCACTCCACTCAGAGGGGATTATGGGATAGGTGTGTTTAATCAGGTTATCTCACCTGCCTGAGATCACAAAGCGGAAATGATTTCTGCAGTGGATTTCATGCCTTTATGGGGCACAGGCCAATCTGGGATGCCCACACAGAGGCTCTGACCTAATTGAGAACTTCTGTGTGGGTGTTATAAGATTATAATAATGATAGAGTACTCATAAGATGGACAGAGCACCCAGAAACTCTGGCACATTCCCAAACAAACGATTCTTAGTGGTTTCGAAGTGTCATTAGTATTGTCCAATCGATTCCCAAATGATGAGTCGATTCTTTTTGGTGAAATTAAAAACAAAGTGCAAGCAGTATAGTCCACTCCAATCGATTCCCAAATGAACGATCCCCATGAGTTGGTTGTTTTTTAGGTTAATCAAAAACATACAGTGGGGCCGGTTTATTCCACCGATACCAAAAAGAATGACTCCAATGAGTTGTTTCCGTTTAGTCAATCACATTCACGAAGTGTCAGGAGTATAGTCCAAACGATTCCCTAATGACTGACTCCTATGAGTGGATTGATTCTTTTTAGTGAGTCAAAAAAAAGTGCAATCAGTGCAGTACAAGTGATTCCCCAAAAAATGACTTGGTTCTTTTTAGTGAATCAGTTCTTTTTAGCAAACATGAGTTGTAGTCCAAACGAGTCGTTCGTTGTAGTTTTTGAAAAGTGATTTCTGTTCAATAATGTAAAAAATACTAGTAAAAGTCCAATCAGAAACAGAATTCCTCACGATACCCATCCTAGCAACCACCCGGACTTCCCTAGCAACCACATTGCAATGACTTGGCAACCACTGAAGAAGATGTGTGAATTATAGAAGTTCATTTTGCAAGCAGCAATCCTCAGAAAATGTAAAATTGTAGCTCACATTAATGTCTCCTCATGCAATTGTAAATATAGTGAACTGAACTACTAAAACCTGGATCTAACAGAATATTTTCACAGAATGACAACTTCAAGCCGTTCTTGAGTTCAGTGCATCTCCTCGAGACACTCATCTGGTTACGATCCCATCGACCAACATTTCTGTTCATCCAAAAAGTCTCACAGCCCAAACTGCATGTCCCCGAGTTTCACATGCAGCTGCATCCTATCTGTGCGATTTGACTTTAAAATTCGGAAGCCAAAATAACAAAGTAGGTCCGATGCTAATTAATATGTCCAAAAGCCGTCGTCGTGTAATTTAATAAGTCGCTGGATGTGGAGTCCTTGACAGAGCTCAAATCCTTCCCCGGTAAGAGAACGGCAACTGTTAACTGAGCCGCAGCGTCGCCAGAGAGGCTCAACAGTGTTCAGTGACCGAAAAATACTTTCTCTGGTTTTTAATTACCTGAGCAAAGATAAACAGCAAGAAAGAGAGGGAGAAAGACATCCTTACCTCTCTAAAAAGGTGAACTACCAATTTAAAAATTCAATGGCAACGCACACAAATGAGCTTTCAAGAGCTCAACCATAGTGAATCAAAACTGTATGTAGACACACTTAAATGTTTGAATGTCAACGCATTAGATGATAAACATTTTTGCAGTGAATTTTAACCAGAACAGGTGATTTTTAGTGGATGTGTGATGACTTATTAGTCCAAAACTGACAACTGTCACAGCCATATATCAGAAAGCAACCCCGTATGTTGCTGACACACTTTAGTAATTAACACAACAACAATAATAATTGTATAATAATAATAATTATGTTGAAATAATAATATTTCACAACATTTATGACTAATTCCATATTTACAGTAGAGCGTCTGATTCCCAGACACAGATTAACCCTGAATCTGAACTAAATTACAATGTCATCAGTAATTCTGCAGTGAAAATCCTTTTTAGCACTAGCCCTAATCTGTGTTTGGGACTCTGGCCCGTAGAGTTTGGAGAAGCATCTGTAATCATCTCTAAACCATCTGTAACTAACAGAACGAAACATCTCTGACTATGTTTGCACACTATTAATCATGAGGAACTGGAAGCTATACCACACTGAAGATGAAACAGACCTTGATGCTCCATCTCTCTTCACTTGGTTTGATACATAATGTTCATCCACGGTTAACCAAAGCTCCTGGATACTCTAACCTTTGTTAAAAATGTAGCAAGCTGCCTCGACATCTACACAGTCAGCTACATTTTGGGAGTGTTTACAGCTACTTTAGATAGACTACAGCAGAATGAAAACAAAATGATATTGTGACTAAAATAAAATATTTTTTTATTTAATAAATTTAAAAATGCAATTGAAATATTTATATAGCTTGGTTTATAACAAATAATAATAATAATATGCATAAACCAAATTATACACATTTTTTATGTAATTTTCTTAAATTGTAAATTTTTATTTTTAATAATATTAATCAAAATTAATAATAAATTGTATTATCATTATCAAATTATATACATGATATTATAATATACATTTCATCACTAACTTATATATTCTAATAGTATTGTAATGCTAATATATTCTAAAAATGCTTTTATAATTGTATAATTGCTCAATTATATTCTAGTAGATAAGTAAAAAACTAGCCTGAATAAAAGTGAAATACCTCTGGAAGAGTCAAAATCCCCATTTAATACGTAGATGTAGGCCTGTCGCAATAATCAATATATCGATTTAGCGCGCAATATATGTACATGGCCTCAATCATTTTTGGTGACGCAATATATCTCCCATTATATTTACTTAAAAATTAATGTCACCATGTTTTGTACATTCCACTTGCGCCTGTGTCTTCTGCAGCTTCTCGTACATAACGTGGTGTAGTCATGAGGAGCTAGTTCAAATTTAAAAAATGCTTCTACAAACAAAGTTTCATCTGCAGATATGGCCTTGTTCTGTGCCTTTGTGCATACGGACATCTGACTGCAGAGTAGTGATTGTGTTTTTCAGCAATAGTGTGCACCCTTCATTTACAGAGAAAAGAAGGTCAGGGGAAAATCTGTAGATGGAAAAATCTCCATAATTTTTTTGTGTGTTTTTTTTACTTTGCACTTTTTGTTAGAAAATGTTTATTTACTATTTATTCAGGTATCTAATATTTTGATACTTAAATTCCATGATCTAAATATTCTTAAGAATTAAAAGTTTGTTGTCATTTGGAAGCGTGTAGGCCTTCTTGCATTATTATGCTGTTACATTACGATTATATATTCAGTGGCATAAAATGGTCTTTAAAATGACAATAATATCGCTTATCGCAATTATTTCTGGGGTAATATATGGCACAACAAAAAGTTGTTATCGTGACAGGCCTACGTAGATGATTATACTAAAATCTACAAAAATATATTTTTATAGAA